GGTACCTTGGGGATAAATGTCAAGGGCCGATACGCCCCGAGGAGTTAGACTTGGAGTACTAACTCAGGGTGTAGAGCGAGTAGTAGCTCGAGGGAGTTAGAGGCTAGTGGGTCGTGTGATCGAAGCCACGAGAGTCCTGGCGTTTGGATGTTCGTATGGAAATGTTAATTTACTGTTATTATTTCTGGATGTTTGATTTCCTAGTTATTGTGTTTGATGTCACTGTGATTATGAGCATGTTGTTTGGTGAATAGTTAGTGAGGGCTACTTACAGAGTATTTTATATACTCACCCCTCTCTACCTTAATTGTTTCAGGTGTAAATAGGGCCCTCGACCGTGGAGGAGGCTTGACCAAGAAGGGACCACTAGCTGCGTTTTTGTCTAGAATAGCTAAAATTGTAGTTTCATTGCTAGGAACGTTAGAGACTTGTTGTTGGGGTGTACTAGACATTGGTTTGACTCACAGAACGTTTTTTTTTCTATTTCTTCTTCTTGGGCGAACTATTGTTTTGCTGTTATTATTATTACTCGAGTCTCTGGTGTACTTTGGGTTGCTAGACCAAATGATTGTTTTTTTTTTTGTTTTTATTTGGATTTCTAGCCACTGAGGCAGACATGCATTTTTAGGAATTGGTTGTGGTATGAACCCCACGGTTGTTCTTAAAAATAATTGTTTCATGTCTTTTTGTTGGAGAGGGGCTGAACAGGGGAGGTGATAGCATTACCTCAATATTTCATGTCGAAATTTTGGGGACATTACACTTTATGTTACCCTTAGTGGAAAGGGGTGAATAGGTAATATGGTGATGTTACCCCATTCTTTGTAGTGAAATTCGGGGGCGTTACAGTTTGTATCAGAGCGGAACCTCTCCCAGTAAGATGTGGTTCGGGCACAAACTAAGGCAGAAGCTGGTGGGCATGTGACACTCGACTAGAGAGGAGGGGTACATGAATGAACCGATATCACATTCGAATGAGAGGGATCCTGAGATCATGGAAGAATGGTCAAGAAAGGCTTAAAAGAATTGATAGTCACTACCTATACAAACAAGATGCACCTTCATTTTCGGTGGCTCAATCATAAGAACTTAAAAGTTAAGCGTGCTTGACTTTGAGCAATCTTGGGTTAGGTGACCTCTTAGTTGTTTTACTAGGAAGCATGTAAGTGTGGACAAAGCATGTTGCAATGTAACGTCCCGCGTTCTCGGGTATGTTTTTTTTAAGATATCATTAGTGCCTTTGGATTTTTTTTGCCCGAAACTGATAATTTTAATTCTTGGAT